GATTGGTTGCGGCTCTTTTTTGTCTACGTTCACTTTTGTGTTTTGGCAAGTGCTGGTGCTCCATTCCTGGTAAGCCCACACGTGTCCCAAGCGTCATGGCAACAGAAGTTCTATGTTGTTCGTCGGTGGTTTGCTTTGCTGTTGGCAGTCATGCTGCTCATTGTTCACCTGCTATGACAGCTCAGGATCCGGCGGCTTCAGGAAGATCTTCTTGCAGCGTGGCTGTGCCTGAACAAGGATACGACAGGAGGTACAGGAGTCACACGGAGTTCTCGGATATCCCAAGCCTGCATGCGGCAGAGGGTTGCTTTGAGCATATTAAAAGCTTCCTGGCCATGGCCAGTCTCAGCTGCGGAAAGAAAGCGATCCACCAGTTTCCACCTTTGAACAGCTTCTCAGACTTCTCAGGTTCGGCATCACAACTAACAAAAACAACCAAATCAGCCGCTACAGCACCCTCTTGCAGTAGGCTTCCCGCCATTGAGACAGCGACCAACCAACACGCCACCAACCCCATCCCGCCTGCCACGAAGAGTGACGCGTGATTCAGTTCCCTGGACTGCATGCTCCTTTATTCTGTCACATTTGATCAGAACCTGATCTGAGCAACATGAGCAACTGCACCATTGCGAGTCGGCAGCAGTACCACTGCAATCCAACGCCACGCAATACATGCAAGAAGCAGCAAGCAGAGCTGTCAAAAGCTGTTCGCCAGGGATGCTGTTTTCCCTTGTGGAAACCAATGAAACAGGAGCCAAGACCTTGCGATGCATAGCCCAGCATCTTCACATACTTTCACAGTATCTCCGCATTATCTTCTCAAACAGTTTGTAGCACTCAAAGATGCGGACAGCACTTTCCAAAGCGCATCTTTTGAGTCTTTGTTGGAGTTTGAGTCCAAGGAGTTCAAGCTCTTCATGAAGAAGTCCTGACGTGTTCGTCAGGGCTCTGTCCGGCTGTGCGAGCTCGCGTGCGGCAAATGCCACTCTCTCCCCTCCCCGAACGGCAAAAAGATTCATAGCTCGAGCCTCAACCTGACTCATCTTCAGACGATGCCCTTTCGAAAGAGCAGCAATGGCCAGCGCGGCCGCTTTTGCCTGACTCGTTTGACTTAGCCCACGTTCAAAGCACGCACGGTTCTGAGTGACCGACTGCGTCATCATGCTCGGCTCCTTCTGAACCAGATGCCAACTCTAGCAGGTTGCTCAAGAATGCGCCGCCTGCCTGCGCAGCTCAAACATGCAATGTATGGTGCTCAGCAATGCTGTGTCCATGCAGTCTGCCCTTGCCGCTTGCCTCGAACCGAAGGCTCTCCGGCATTCCCATGCGGGCCCATGCCTGTGCCGTCATACCAAAACCAGATGAAGGCTACTTTTTCAGTCATTGGAAGCCAATGCTCTGCACGCCTCCTCCCAGTGAATAGGCTGGGATGCAACTGGCAGGAGCTCCCGCACGAAACACCTCGAAGCTTGCTCATGGACCGTCTGCTGCCAACATCTGTCTAATGATAATGACGACTACTCGCTGGTGAACCCCTGGTGAACCTGAGATTGTCCGACTTCAGCTGCCCATTTGAGTGACAAGGTTGCTTTGGCAAAGCCTTCAGGCGAAGATGTTTCACAAACTTCACAAGCAGCCAAAGAGGATTTGCCATGGCCACACACACACATGTAGAAAAACATCATGCCAGGAAGACCCTGCAAATCTCGTAGACTTTGTCAGCAGCTTCAGCATCTGCTTTCTTTTGCTTGGCACGCGCTTCGGCTTTCAACTTTTCTTCTGATGCCTCGGAAGATGAAGACGATTGAGACTGAGGCTCCAAGACCTCCGCGTCTGGTGCTGGCAGCTTCTGAGGAGGCTCCCGAGGAGGCTCCTGAGGAGGCTCCCGAGGAGGCTTCTGGGGAGGCTTCTCCGGAGGCTTGTGAGGAGGTGCAATTTGTGGAACCGCCGGAATTTCTGAAACTTGTGGAAGCTGTGGAACTTGTGGTTTTGGCGGCGCCGAAGGTGGCGGCGGTGGAGCCGGGGGGGGCGCCGGGGGGGGCGCCGGTGGTGGCCGCGGAACCGCCGGTGGTGCCGGGGGAGGAGCGGGAGGTGGGGCTGGCGCCACGGCTTCTGGGAACAGCGGCCGCACCCTAGTCGGGGCCATGGCCTCCTCTTCTCCCGTTTCCTGCTTCCTTCGCTCCATCAGAGCAAGCTCCAGGGACCGTGCAAAAAGACCCAACTCCCCAGGGCTAAACCCTGTGGCAATCTCTGCCAGCGCCGAAAGCGCCGCTCGGCGCTCGGTGTCGGGAAGGCTTGCCTAGTCTCAGTGGTGCCATCTCGAATCATCTCATCATCTCTGCAGTCATACTATCTCTTAGTCACACTCCACGCCTCCGTGAAGCTGACGTACCGAGCAGGAAGACTTTGCAAGGCTTCCTTCAAGGTTGCAGGGGTGCTTTCTGACAGGGTTTCAGATGCTCTCAGACAAAACCAAACTTCAACACGCGGGCTTGGGCTATGAGTCTCGAATCGGCCTCGGCACTTGCGAAGAGTGGCACCTGACAATCACTGCATGGCAGCCAACATCTCCACTGGATAAAGTTGCTCTGCATCTGGCACATCTGGCACATGCACCGAGCTTAAGTAAAAATGTATTTTTCCGATATTTGGGGTTCGCAGTCTTGAAGCTGGAGTGGGAGTTCAGACACTCTTGTCAGGTTCTGCGTGCACGATGTCGGAGAATGGTCAATGTAGTTTATCAGGTCATTCACAGCACATATGTACGAATACACTCAACAGCGCACTCATGGCCCACATCACACGAAAACTCGTTTCGGCCCCGGCCGGGTGGCGTCAGAAGTTCAAGCACCCTCGTTCCCGGAAAGAATCTAACGACGCCTCTGCACTGGCCGCTGCGCGAGACATCGCAGCCCAACTTTGTGCCAGCGACATCTCAGCCATGCAAGTGGCCACGACTCTGAGAGGCTGCTTCTACCATACAAGATGTTGCTTGGAAGCAGGCAGAGGGATACTGCGCATCACGGAGTGTCCGCACGTCCTGGACTCTGTGTCATGCAACCAACTGGCACTGAACTAAGGTCTCTCGCGGTAAACAAACGAGAAGGCCGCACCTCCACGTCCTCACCTGATGGGGCTTGGTCAATGGTCTGAACAAACACTTCCAAACTTCTCCCAATTCCTGACTGAAGCTGCATCTGAGCTAGTGAATTGCAATGACGCCAAGTGAGGCAGGCACTTTCCCTCAGACGCTTCCTATGCTTGCTTGCACTTGGATTGCCTTCTTTCTTGTCCTGCTATGAACAAGTGAGAACTCGAAAAACCACGCAGTTCACGTATGTTGACACCATGCCTAGCCTACTACCCGCATCTCACGCTCCTTCTTCGGCTTCTTCTCCTTGCCCCGCTTCTTCGTCTTCTTCTTCTTCCTGTCCTCGGCAGCTTAGCGAATCTCAGCAATAGCAAGCATCACTAGATATCAGTAGCCTGTTCTGCTGTACGTCAGGGTCCAGGCCTTCATTTCCTATGTGAACTGCCGGCTCTTGACCTCATGGTTCCACCCGAATGGGCACAGCACACGCCAACCTTTTCAAGAGCACGGAAAGAACAATCTCCCAACACTACTCTAAGAGAGCTCTGCAAAAATGAAGAAGCCATCCAAAAGGACACCCACCCAAAGAGCAATGCTCCAAAGCCACCCAAAAAATCCTCCCCTTAGACAGTGGAGCCTTGTTGGTATTGAGGATCCCAGATTTCGTGGCCAATCTGATATCCCGTGCCATTCCCGTGGCCAACATGTGACATTCTTTGCCTTCCCAGTTGAGCATGGTTGAACATGGTTGAGCATGGTTGAGCATGATCGGACCGAAAATGCACGGATTGCAATACTCAGAGCTCTTTCCAGCCCCACAGACGCCCCGCAATCCATTCATATGTATTCTCCCTTACCCAAAGCGTGACCGCACCGCTTCAAAACATCCAGTGCAAGGCTGCCACGTGCAGGCCAAATGCGTCGCATCGCCAACCATGGTTATGCCGCACAGTGGGTATCAAGCTCACATTCCGCCTCTGACCTAGAAGCCAAAACTAGCAACCCTCTGCAGCGGCTACCGAACGAAAGCTCCGGCATGGCTGCACTTTCTGATCAAAGCTGTACACATACGTACACTTGCTACTCGTGCACGGTCCATGAAGTGACATGAAACAACTCTGGCTATGCATCGTTTCGAACAGCTTGAGCACAGCAAGCAGCAACTGGCAACTTGCAAGATCTTGCAAGCACACAGCTCCGGGCTTGTTGCCAGCTTGAAAAAGCTGCTCATGTCCTTTGGTCCCGGTGTACTCACCGACCCGCCATCCGCCATGGCAACTTCAGCATATGCGCTTCATGCAAACATCATAACTCGACCATGGGCAAACAGATTGTAGGAGGCATTTTGTTTTGGGGTAAAGTGTGGAGTTTGGTGCCTGTATTGCTTCGTGCTTTTCAGTCGGATACCGGCCCACAAGGTTGATTCGAAGTGGGTGAAGTTTGAGTTCATCTCGACAGGATCTACACAAAGGCGTGAAGGGCTCGTCTGCAGCATACACCCTGCAAGCCGCAAACTGCCACGGTCGGTCCAAATCACCAAAGAGCAAATCAACAAAATCTTGAACGAACTGTTACACTCAATTTCGCGATGTCAGGGTGACCCGCACCTTGTCAAGAACGCGCCGCACACAATGAAGCTTGTTGACGAGTTCTGTCTGCAAGGCTGCACACCTGCCAGGCTGCGCACCTTGAATTTAGCTACAGAATGCTACAGACAAAAAGCTAGCGGCATCCAAAGACTTCCCCGCGAATGTTCCGGCCTTGCATCCGCATCACTGCGTACAGATGCCAGTCTTCGTTCGAAGTCCTGCATCGTTTAGATGTGTAAACTTGCACATGTGAACAACAACGCCTCGGAAACGTATGCATGATCGGAATCTCGCCAGCTTTTTTCCCAGGCTTTCGAACTTCAAAGCAGCTCAAGCCACGGGCACGGTTTCTGGCAACCTTCCGCTGGACAGGCGGTGCTACGCAGTGTTCCGTGTGTGCATTCCCACACCACGAATGATATCACAGTTCGTTTCATGTCAGCACCTCTTGAACTTCTCCCGGAGGTTGTAGCTCGGCCTGACATGTGTGCACATGTGGGCTTCTAGAGGTGCTTCATGCTCCCAAAGTCACAAATGGAGACCGCCTGCTGGAGAAGCGTCAGTCTTGCATCAGGTGGTACCAGCTGTCCATGTTGCGAAACCGAGATCAGTGAACCTCCTATCGACAACTGATAGCATGCCATTTGAGCAAATGCAGCTTCCATGTCATGTCCGGTCAGCCCACTACGCAAATGTCAGCGCACACCTGCCGCCAGCGCGCGCCAAGCCTGTAATCAAATGCAACAAACAGAGACCACAAGCGAGCTTCAGCACGATGCAATCTGGCAATCAACACATCCGGTCGTCCCAAGCCAAGTACTCAAAGCGTAACAGCGTATAACGCTTTGCACTTCGCCCACACCTCTAGCACCTAGACCGTTATATTCATGCTTAAACGCCAGTTTGCGCCCGCTGTGCGTTTCCCCACACCTTTGTCAGATTTGAACTCAGCTATTTCCCCACTCGGCTCTCCTGTGGCACAGGTCACCTGACCGGGTCCCATACTTCTGGACAAGGCAAAGTACCTTTCATGGAGTGGCACCCTCAAGGAGTTCCGCAGAGACTGCCGACAGTGAGCGCCAAGCCCCACATGACCACCCAAGAGATGCCGCAGACGGCAACCTGCTACAGTACTGCTACTGCTAGTACTGTACACACCCGCCCACCGTTCCACATAAGCAATCCATCCTTGAAACTGCTCCTTGTTGCAGATTTGGTTCAGAATCTATGTTCGTTTCTTATTCGTTCTCTCTGCATGTGTTTCTTTAGCGTTTTTTGGTGTGGTGAGCGAACCTCCCAAACTGCACCGTGGGGGGGGGAGGGGGGTTGGGGGCTTGTAGGGTTAGGGGGTCCCGCAGTGGGAGGCGCGGAGCCTCTTTCAGCACGGCAGGAACCTGCTGCTCACCCAGCCTGACGATCATTCACGACAATGACATGCTGTCACATGCCCCAGCAACATTGTCCTCAATTCTGGGACTCGGTACAGCAAAGCCTCGTGCTGAGAAGAGCATCCAGGAAACCTTTCCTGAGGCATGGCGTCACACGAACACACCTCTGTTATCCCTGCAGGAAGTGCTGAAGTGCTTGGCTCGTCTGCTTGTCTCAGCAATGTGCTCTATGATGATGTCAAAGCAGCTGTCACGGAACGGCAGCCTGCAAGGGTAAAATGTGCACACGGATTCCTACATACCACAAAGGCACGTTGAAGGCTCAACTCTCAATCGTGAAAAAGCCTCCGCAATGATACGGGCCTGGAAGCTTCGGCAACTGTGAAGATCAATCGAGCTTGTCCAGGCCTACCTGCACACATGTATCAGTATGCGAGTTGATGTTTCTGAGAGAAAAATGGGCTCTGAGGAGCCTGCGAGGCTGCACCATAACCTGGGGAGGAGCTGTTGCAGGCGGAAAGCTCGTGTACATGGCATCAGACCGATACTGGGACCAGCACTCTCTGCCGAGCGATGGCTACAGCAGAGGCGTCGCAGCCCACAACCACGCGTGGACCGAAATCAAGCCGTGCCAGCTGCACAGGGAGACGCGAAGTGCCTAGCTACAAGACTTCAACAAGACTTCAAGATGCTGCAAGAAACTTGCCGTCAACATCTAGCTGTACGAGCCACTGAATTCGCCTCGGCGCACCCACAGGGACGCCATGTTTCCCCAACTCTGATCCGCTATTCGGGGGCACCTATACTGCATCCCCATACTTTTCGTTTACTTCTTTTGGTGATTGCGAACCGAGATTGAACTGAAAACCGGAGGTCCGAGGTCCCCATTTTTGCTGGTACGAGCGCACGCAGTTTCAACGCCCAATCATCCTGTAGATAGCCAAACCCCAAGGAAGGTAACCCAACATGTCAAAGAAGATAGCCCCGAACCCCAAACCTCAAAGCACACAAGGCCAAAACATGCGACAATGAAAGGAAGCCCTCTTTACAGCAGACACACATACGTACATATCTTCATACGTACGTATCGGCACCCCTATTACTGCAGGTGCACCTTGGCGTTTCGATGCGTTTCGTGTCTCAATTACAGCATACAAAACGGACGCTGAGTGCAAGCGTGCCATGGCGTTTCGTGTTCCACATGCACCTTTCAGAACTATAGCCTGGTAAGCACCAACTATGCAAGTTGTGCTGATTCCGCAGGGCACACAGCGATTGGGTTCTCTTCTGGGATTGCGGGCCAGAACACCACATCGACCCAGTACAAATAACCGGGGCCTCTTTACACTTATCCCCCATAGTGTGCACATCTCCACTCTCCGCTTATCGCCCTACAAGCTAATTCAGGCAGCTCGTACAGCATGACAGAGTCAGCGAGTCCCAGCCACCACATCCCAGGTCAAGGATTCGTCGAAGAGCTCGTTGTCGCGTGATGTTTCCGAATACAGAGCCGAGATCCTTTCACCATGCGGTGTGAGTGACAAGCGTTGATCGGCTCGAACGTGCATTCAGAAACTGATGATGACATGCAGCAGGCCGAAATACTGATTCACGAGGCAGGACAGGGGAGGTGGATGATCAAACAGGGTGAAATGGAGACATGCGGGTCAGTGCCTCCCAGCCGGCCAGGTCCGTGTTGTACCATTCGAGGATTTCTCCCTCCTCTAAGCCACCAAAAAGCCGATCGTAGTACTCCACCCTGCAAGGCACTGCTTGGCACTGCAAGGCAAAAGCAAGACTAGAGCAAGGCTGCCGCTTCGAAACTTCGACAATCCGCACCCGCACCTGTCGAAGATACCGCGCGGCCTGTGGCGAGCTGACAGACCCTTCTAGTAACAAATGTGTTCAGCAGCACCTGCCGGCAGCAGCGGAAGCCCAACCATCACGGATGTGGCGCAATCCCTGCCACCTCATACCCTGACTACTTCACTGCATGAAGATGTTACAGCGCCTCTGACGCATACTTAAGCAAAAGCAAGCTGCAGCTGGCTGTTGCAGACATCTCTTCAAGGTGTGGCAATAAATCAATACCTTCTACATAGTTCCACCATGCTGCTGAATGAATCGTCAATGTAACTCTGTCATGTCTTGGTTCAAAGAACGGCTCCCAAAACATTGGAAGCATCGAATGAGGACGCAAGTCTGACTACGTTTCAATGTTGCATGTGGCGTGACTTCCGCTCCAAATCCACATCGAAACGTCCTTCTCACGAAGGTCTGCTTCGATTTGCACACGCTTTTGCATGTCCTGCGACAAGCAAGCAAGCAGAAGGAGTATGTGCCTGCACATTCGAAGGTACGTTCGGGCAAAAGTGCCTCCAGCTGCTCTTCTGCCCTTCCTTTCTGTCGAGTCTAGGCGGAGGCAACAGATGACTTGCAGACTTGGAACCCCCCAGAATAGAAAGCAGCAGCAAGATTGACATTCAGATCAGAGTAGAAGCCTCAGGGCAACACAACTTCGCTAATTTGGTCCGTAAGCTGGTTGACCTGCCCCCGGGCACTTGTCAGGACGCAAAGCCAAAGAAAAAAAGGCTAACCATGCTTTACCTCATTTTGCCTCTCATCAAGGCCTGCTCAGCAAGCTTCCGTGAGATCTCCTCAGCGGCTTCACGGGCTTTTGCCAGTCCACGGTTGGCCTGGCATCGAGAATCGAGCCAAAATGTGATCACAAGTTCGCTTGAGGCAACCGGGTGGCACAGCTGCCATGGCCTCAGTCTCCTTTTGGATCCGAGTCAACATGAGTCCACATCGTTTCTGCGTCTCCTCACCACCGCAGTGCTGCCCTGCAGTCTGCACTGCATCACTGCGTCTGGGGCAGTCCTGAAGAGTTTGGCGCATCGACTCATAGCTTCTGTCTGGTGAAGCCCTTGGCAGGAACATGTGCTTGGAAGCTTCTGCTGAACATGCTCTGGTACTGCCGAAGCCACATCGGTGCGCTACTCAGAAAAGTCATTTGGCCCATGCAACCAAGGTGTGCAAAGAAAGCCAACTTGTCCATCGGGTTTAAAGTATATAAACTTTCGCACCCGAGGCACAGGAGCACCACATGGTTCTGCAACATTCTGCGACACTTGGTTTGCAATGTGGGGCCAGGACGTGCCAGACAGTGCAGCTGTTGGCAGCATGACCTGCCATTTGCCACCGGCACCCGCAAGTGCGGATCTGATGCGCTTCGTACAGCTGGATTGATGCGCGTGCGTGTTGCACTTGGCCTTTTAAGCTTACGCCCTTTTCCTCGCTTTGCCCTCCTGGATTGTCGGGTTCTTGTATGCTGCACGTGAGCACAGTCATCATCCACTCTTGTTTGGTGCAAGCTCTTGTGTAAAGCACAGGAGAAAAGATCGGACAACCCCGTTTTGCGGGCTTAGGTTTGACATTTCATCGCAAGTGCACACAGCAGCTTGCATCACATGCTGTGGCTGTGTGCCATCCGTCTTGGAAGACACGTTCAGGCACAACTGTCACATCTGGATCATCCAAAGCTTTGGCCACACTAGTGAAAGGCAACACGAATCATCTTGCAACATGCCACACTTTGTCCGAAGTGCTTTGCCTGATTGGCACATGCCAAAACAGAACAGCCAGCCAAGCTCTTGCAGCTATTGGCCACCCTTGTTCCCCTCAAACTTGGAGTCAGGAGCCTCACTGAGGGCAGTGCATGAGTTGTGTACTATCATGTCCCGCAAGCGACTTGCCAGCACATCTACGAATATGCGAAGTTCTGGAAGCTGAGAACACGGCAATCGAAACTGTCAAGCCGTCTTGCTGCAGCTTCAAGCAAAACTGTTCTGCCATTGCCTCGCATGATCTACGGCATCGAATGGCATCGACCAGCACAAGTCGACGTTTGGATATGAGCTGCCTTCCACACACAGGCCACTGTTGCCTTGCCAGAACTGTGGGCCTGCCAACGCTGGAAAGAAAGTTGCAGCTCGGCATAATTCGGCAAGCCGAAAAGCCTAAGCATGTTTTCCAGCGCCGAACGCGCACAGTCACCAGATCCGTAGTGAGACAATGCCGCCATGCCAAGCTGTCGAGCTCGGCTTGGGCACTCACGGAAGAGCGGCTTCAGTCCACAGCCGAATTTTTAGCTGCTGCGACGAAAGGCAGCAACCAAACAGCAATTCAAAGAATCGCTTGGGTCGAGGACTGCGTCTTCCCTTGGTCTTTGCTTCAGGCTTTGAGCCGAACAGACAGACCGATCATCAAACCAACTTGCACTCACCTTTTGCACTTACTTTTCCACGCTGGTGCACTCACCAAACCAACTATCGGAGAGCAGAGACGAAACCTGGCTCTCCGGTGTAAGCAATCTGTTGAGATGCACACTCAAGCAATCTCTTCAGCATTAGTCCCCAAGAAACCACACACTGCTTTTGCCTTTGAGCGGCTTTTGTTTCCACCGCAGATCTCATGGAGGGGGCTGGTCCGTTGCAGACGCGCCGTTTACCTCCTGCGTTTCCTCCCCAACTGTCTCCTCACCAATCTTCGGCTCCTGTCACACACTTGTAGCCACGGTTGCACCACTTCACTCACGCTTAGCCGCCTTCACAAAACGGCAATGCATAAGCACGAGAATGGTTCACGAAAGTTGTGAACCATTATCATGCTTATGCAGACAGACCTGAGCTGCAATGCCTTACCAAGTGCACACTCGGACCCAGTACTCCTGCGATGGCTGCTCCTTTGGCCCGGCGTCTTCTGCCTCAGAGCAAGGAACGATCACCCGAAACAGCAACTCAAAACCCCAGAAATCTCATGTTCAGGCAGTCGAGAATGCAAAAGGCCCACGCTGGTGCACCGACCTCTTGCAAGAAGTTCTGCATGTGAGCAAGCTGTTTGCGCAAATTGGCATTTGTCCTGGAAACCATAGAAGCTTCGCAGCCAAGTTGCTCGGGACTTTGACATAGGAAGCTCACTATTTGCGAAGACTTTCGATCAGTGTGCGGTAGATGCGTCACATTCATCAAGCTTCGTGCAACCCAGAGTCTGCTGCAGGGAGCAATGTTTGGAAGGAATTGACTCATCGATGTTTGCACTTCTGCGCAGCCATGCTATCATAAAGTCCTTGGGCGGCAATGCTGAAGGGCCTGCAGATTGTCCCTATGCAGGGCTGACAAATCTTGGCGCAGCCAAGAAGAAGCTGAAAGCTGGGGCGAAAAGTTTCCCCCAAAGCTTCTGCAGGGCAAGCATCCATCGGCCTGGCAGGTGCTTTCGCCTGGGATGCAGGATGCCACGACCCAATGCGATGTGGACAAAACATCTTGCAGGATCCATTGCATGGCATATCATCCCGATGGCTGCAGATACTCGAGCAGCTCATACTGGCAGCAGCATTCCCTCTCGCTGCAAATAGCCCGCACCTCTTGCAGTTCAGGCACAATGACTTCAGCAACCATCTTCTCCAAAATAGGGTCAAGGTCGTTGAGAATGAATTCCTGAATGCTGGAAAGCATGGACATCATGACCCTTTTCGTCGACGGGCAGGTGTGCTCTGCTTGGGATTCAGATCATGCAGCGCATTGCAGTGCATGATAGTGCATCCTTCTTCTCGGTGCTGAAGGACAAAGCTTCAACGGCAGTTCGTGCCGATGACATGGCTCTGGCACTGCTATGACCGTCTATGAGTCTATGTCAAGTCTACGCCAAGTCTATGCCCCGCCGAAGTTGATTGCAGTGTTCAACATGCTAAAACTGCTCTGCCTCACGGTGTCTTTTCGTCATTCCCTGACTGCAGCTCAGCTTGAAAACGGCATCGTCGACAATCTTGACAACGCCAAGAGGATCTGAATCTAGCTCTCATCACTTCAGCTGACTCCAGCGCCGTTGCACCGAAAACAGCCCAAGCTAGCCTCCCAGGTAATGCTATAGGCCTTTCGGCGCGAGAGGTGCTGCACCACCTGCGAAACAGCTGCGGCTACCACCCACGTAAAGCTTGCATGATCTTGCATGGCAAGATGCACGATCCCAGCTGGTTTCAAGCCTTCACTAAACAGTTTGTCACATACTCGAAGGTGTGGATGTCGTCGTTGTGTAGCAGAACTCTCCACCACCTCTACACACATCTTCGAACAACACTGCCATCTCGTGTCATCTCAGATACATGTACGCAACGATGTGCACTGACAGAGAGCCGTACTTCTCCTTCTCGAACTGTTCCTGCACTGCGCATCTGGGATCATGGAACCCGATGCAGAGGAGTCCAAGCCAATGCACACCACATCACACAACAATGAACGTCTGCCTTCATCTGAGTCTTTCTGTCCACCTCAAAAGGCAGCTCCAACAAATCAGTTGCACAGGTGGGGTTGCCATATGCAAGCGGTGGAATGGAACTCCCAGCCTTTTCGATAACTGCAATGCCAGCATCCGGCAGATCTGGCTGCATCTGAGCCCTTCGTATGGCTCGGAAGCCTGCACCGAGATTTCGAGAATTTGAGAACATTCGCTAGCTTCGCTCCGTGCTGTCTTCGAGCCTCGTCCGGTTGAAGTGGTTGATGCAAAAGCAACCAAGCCCTTCGCAGCAAGCGACACAAGCGACACAAAAAACCACCAACATGACATCACAACTGCTCCCCTCCTCCATCAAGCACATGGCTAGTGGGATCCTCGGAAAACGACTGCACGGCAGAGGCTGCCGATCGAGAGTTCGAACTCAGCAGCGCAGACTGCCATTTGCCAAGGCTGTGGCAGGCTCCACAGCCGCAACCTCTTGGAGGCACGAAACTTGGCCTCAGCCTTAGTCAAACGATCTTCCACTTAATGCAGGTCAACCTGTGCAGCCATCACGGATTTAATGAACAAAGCCTCGGGCCATTGTGCAAGCAAATGCAATCTCGCTAAGTGCAAAATTCTGTAAGCCGAGACAGCGCGCACGAATTAAATTGTATATGCGTAAGGGCATTGGCATCGACCTGTTTTGCAGTGCTAAGAAGCACTGACTTTGACCACTGCATGTCACTGCTTTGCAGCATAGCACGCACACGGAGAATATGCCTGAGAGCCAGGTAATCGCATTGGAGACCTCACGACCGGGCATATAACATCAAGCGCAATTGGGCTTTGCATCCATGGCCGCTCAACTCAGATCCCCACACTTGGACAGCACACCCTGCATCTGCAGCAGTGCCTTGCATGTGCATTTGCCTTGCTGTCAACAGCTCACCTTGCCAGATGATTCTTTCCAATGCCTGCAACTTCCTGCTCCAAAGCATCTGCGAGTGACAGGATTTGATGAACCTGGGCCAGCGGTGTAATGCTCGACGTTGTGACAACTTCGCAGGCTTTGATTTTCAATCCTTCAACCGGCCAACCTGCATGGGCAAATGCAACTTGCCCATTGCACCGACTGAAGTTTGCTGGCGCAGGTACTTTTTGCAGCTGCACTCTCAGTTGGAACGTGGACCAAAGCCTATCTGAAAGATCACGCCTGAAACACTTTGGGCAACGCTTCAGAGGATGTCCCGAAGCATCACCAGCATCTTTGAAGTGATTCTTGCGCGCTTTACTCAGAGCGTCTGGCAATGAGTGCAACTGCGAACACAGCGAAGACCAGCAGCGCGCTGCAGAGAGCGAAGGAATCCTTCAGCCTGAGAACAAAAACGCTTTGGCGAGATTCTTCGGTACCAAACCCAGATTGATCGAAGCTTTCATTTGACGACCTTTACCCGGGGAGTCGAGTCGCTCAAAGTCTGCGAGAAGAAGGAGCACCACGCACAAGTTGAGCGGCACACGGTATACCTGGACTTCACATTCTCTGTGCAAGGCATGTCTCAGCGAAGCATGTTCTGGCTCCTACTTCAAGATATTCAACCCGAGAAGCATTGTAGACGCCTGCTCGTGCCTGCTCCGGAACCACTGCGCTTTTCACAGTGCTGACACACGGAAAGTATGCTCCAACCTGAGCACAGCACGCATGATTGTTCGAGCAGCATTGACTCTGAGACTGCTAAGAGTGCGACGCATGCTTCAAACGCTAGGAAGCCCAAGAATATTGCCAGTTCACCTCGGTGCTTGCAGCAACCAAAGACTCATGCCCAACAATGATGCTGCGCGTTCACTGCATCTTGCATCTGATGTACTGTAGGCTGTATACAGGGACACAGCAACAAGACCCAAAGCAGATGCCGCAGCCAAGCAGATGGGAATGAGGACCTGGTTTCTGTTGCAAGCTGGTGGAGAACATAACGAAAACAAGCTTAGAGTTTCGTCTCTGACCTTGACCGGCTGCATCTTCGTGTCGAGCAGACTGAATAAGGAAGATCCACACATGCAAGCCATCCTCGCATTGAAAAACGTGCAGTCCCACGAACACGCACGCACGCGCACGCACGCACGCACGCACGCACGCACGTGCGCACGTGCGCACACACACACACACACACACTCTTTGCCTTTGCAACTTCGTGGTAAGCAAGGCCAGAGATCAAACGCAGGCCGCGCTTGAAGGAGCATATTCATCCCAGGCACATGAACGCACTGAATATCAGCCCATGCGGTGGGGTGGTCGCAGAGCCAGAATCCAGTGCCGGTGTCCAGTTGAAAACAAACGCGTACCTGGATTGTCGGAACTTGCATAAGACAGCTGGTCTTCCAGATCGCATGTGCAAGCATCTTTTTGCAGGGCACATCGAGCTCTCAAATGAAGCCACCGCCAGACCAAGAAGGGGGACTTCATAACTTGAAGACATCGCCCGCAAGCCCGCCTGCATGATGTCACTCATTCACTTCTTCCAGCTTGTCACCCGTCCGAGCACGACTATGTCTGTCGATCCTGCCTGGAACGACGTTGCGATCTGCGCAAAACCTTCTCCTTGCATGTTTTCAAAGCTGAAACACCAAGAGCGTTGCGGCGTTGCTGTCCAAACACAGCTTCAGGCAGACTTGTCACAATCAGGCTCAGCGTCCGCCAGTCTCGTCTGAGCTCTCACCATAATTTTCCTCACCAGAACAACGGACTGTCGCACATCGTCTACCTTGCAAATTCTACGAAGCATTCCAGTCCCAGCCTGCCACAAGTAGCAAATGAACGGGATCGCTGCCACCAGAAACACGAAGGACACATCAAATGGGGTTGTGACACCGCCATACCAGACTGTGTCCGATACTTGCGTCAGCGGGACAGAAGATGCGGCAAACTGTGCTAGCAAGCCGGCCCCGATTGCTGCCAAGTATTGCACCTCAAAGAAAAACGAAGTTTTACATCAAAGCCGAAAGGTCAGAGGGTGGCCAATTTCTGCTAAGTGCCCTGCGAAAAACATCAAGCCAAACATGTATCGCAGCAAGTCGTCGGGAAACCCACATCGTCGATGTTCTCCCACCATCCAGCATTCAAACGTGCTGAAAAGAAGGGATGTTGCAGCACCACCCAGGAGACGGCCAAGCATAAGAACTGAATAAGAGTTGACGTGTTTTGTGACACAGGCAAGGGCGTACAGCACACAGTACAGCACCGAGCAGAACTTGCGGCCCCAGGCATCTGCTACGGAGCCAATGAAGGTTCCCGTGACCATCGAAGACCCGAAGCCTGCCACAAATAGTCTGGCGATGTCTGCCTTGCTATAGCCATAGCTCGCATACAGCTCGTACACATACGGCCCCTGCAACCAGTCTGCAGTGATGGCAAGAAACCAAACAAACAAGTATCGAAGCTGAAAATCGCTGAAGCCAGAAGGAAACTGCTTCGCATCAGATGTAGGCCGAGTTTGCCATCCCAATACACAGGTCAAAACCAAGAGTGGCCAGAACGAAGCAATGTATATGTTGTCCAACCTTGGGGGAGCCGTCTGCGCATGCACCTATCTCATTCTTGGTGAGCAGATTCTGAAACAGAGGTGTTTCTTGGTGCGAGGCAGTCCTGGAAATTCGGCAGCGGCCGAAGCAGCTCCATCACCAGTTGCCACATTCACCGCCGATGGCGGGCCTGAGTCTTAGGACAGAACTGTACGGGTATGCTGCAGAGGCTGGGGGGCTTGATCGGGAAACTGCTGGAACCGATTACACGGAAAGAACATGCGAACAAGAAGCTGCAACGCGAGGCAAGTGAAGTGGCGCCGGCCAGAATAAATGTTGCCTGAGTGAACGGCACAGTGTCTCGTTTATGGACTGAACTGCAAAGACTAAGCCACGATGAACTGCAAGTTGAACTGCAGCTAGGCACCAGAGGTTTCCCTGTTCTTCTCACGGCCCGCTGCGATGGCCGCAACATCAACATGACCGCAACATCAACATGACAATCACTACAATCCAAAATCTTGCGCCAAAACCGACAGCATAGGTCAGCACAGAAGCCTTGCAAGCTCCGACAATCTTGTGTAAAGACTGCAATGGCAATGCTGTGCTCAAAGCAATTGGATCATGGCGTCCCTCGACCGCTGCCTTCCAGTGCGGTCATACCACCCGTCAAGACCGGAAAATGGCTACAGGTTGGCGAAAATGGCCTGCACCTGCTGTCGAAAAAATGAGACACCTCGATGAACCTGTCACCATGGCAAAAAACTTGTTTTCATGACACGAAGACTGGTGGTGCAAGTTTTGATGCCTTCGCAGAAAAATAGGATGCATCACCGTCTCCTTGGGCACCAACCTGTGGGCACAAGGCACGCACGCGTCTTGCTCCACACTATATCACGCTTCTGAAACGTCTAAGTCAACTTGGGCCGTGTCCTCGCCGGTCAAATTGTAGCGCCAGGTCGGCGGTGACTCTGTAGGTGGCGAAGCCCTTGCCACCTCCAGCACCTGAAGCAGCCCGTCTTGTGAGTTCACGGATGTTCGGCAAGAACTTTGCCCTTCCAGCATTCGACACTGCCCAATTCATGCATCAAAGCTGCCGGGGACATGCAAAGTCCGCTCGATCCATGAATCCTCAGATGTAGCAAAGCAGGCCGACATTCAGCGTGAATGGAAGAAATCCCGACGCATGGGGATACAGGCAGGATGCCACGGGCAGCCTGTCGGCCTGTTTTTTTTCGTTTGCCGAAACTCAACATGAAGAATAAAAGCAAGTATGCAATTCTACAATTCTTGTACGTCTTAGGCTTGCGCATACTGGGTGCGCTATTGTTCATGACTTGCGCTCACTTGTCGAAATCGGGACGTCCTGGTCCACGGATGAAAACTTAAGGTTGTATGCTTCTGTTCATTTTAATTGCAAATTCTGCCGGAATTGACATTGTGCAAGAACCATCTGCATCTTACGAAGGTTTTAAGAAAAAAATTGGGCGTTTTTCATGTCTGCAATATACACAGCTCCCTAACAATGTGAAGGTTGATTTGCATTGTCGGACCTTTTTGTTTCCCGCCAGAAGAAAACAAACAAGGCCCATAAATATGATAAGGGTTCCAAACCAGAACTTCATCTATAAAATCTATCACACTGACTGCCATTGCCCCTTCACCTTTCGGAGATCACGTTGAGGGTTGCGCCGCTCGTGGCTGAACAACCATCGCTCATGTCAAAGCTTTGAGGCTCTGCTTCGCTTTACGGGGCCAGAGTGCACCGTGCAGCACTGTGTGCGCCCTTATCAACATCATGTTGGAGGGCTCCAAACCCCACAAGATCACAAACGACAAACATCCTTGCTCCCCAGCTACAGGAAAGGGCCTCAAGCAAACGCACAACACGGCACCAAAAAAATATGACCACTACACAAAAAAATTTCATCAAACTGAAACTGAAACACAAAGCAACAAGGGACCCACCAGCCCATTGTCATAAACACCCGCATTCAATCGTGTACGATGCTCATGAATGAGGCAAAAACTCGCTGTAAGCTGCCATGCACGGCCGCAAAGAAAGCTAGTCAACCCAGGTATATACATGAACTTGCAACTGATTGCATTGATGCAAGCCCTCGAGAAATCTAACAACGAAACGAACTTGCCTTGATGTGGAAACGCCTGCGCAATGGGAATCGTTTCTAACACCACTCAGACATACTCAGACAAAGGGCAGAAACCGACTTTGCTGCAAATACATGTAAATCCTGTGTCGCATCACACTCCTGACATGCATCAAAACCGGCTGACATGTCCACTAGTTCAACACCATGAATCATGAAACCGTTTCAATCATTGCACTGCATCACAAGCCCAAACTTATGTTTCTTGTGATTTTGTTACGCAACCAAAACAAATGTGGCATATCGTGATACGCAAAACATGTCAGATGACCCATAAGACCTCCGTCATGAGTTTCAAAGCAAGCATATTGAACTGACGCAAAAAGGTCATGTACAACCCTCAGCAAACTCACATCTGTTTTGTTCTTCCACAATTATGGGCCTTAGCGAATGCGTTCGAATTCCAAAACGCGCACTCTGCACACACACCAAACTGGTGTTCCCGGCACGAGCAAACAACGCGTTTTTCGCCGTAGCATTGGCCACTTTGTCTGTCAAACTGCAACTTGGATGCACATTGCACGTCCACCAGATACACCACGCTGGGGGGGAACCAAGGAACATGCATCCTTCCTGTCGCATGGAAGTCGGGTTTGATTTAACCAGGGCTCTCCGTTGAGGAAGAACTGGAAGCTGACAGCGATCGCACTGGTGAGACATGTACTTCGTTTTTGTGGGCGCCAAGAAGACCTTTGCCACCATGCCCAGTGGAAAATCACACACCCATCTCCCAACGCCTTCCAATCCTTCACATCTTCTTCGGAAGTTTGCAAATCAAAAACATGAAACCAGATCTCTGCCATTCAGTGCATTCACACTCTTACTTGAGGGGACGAGGCAGCAGGCGCCGCGGGTGGACGCGTTTCCCGGAACACCTGCCTTATCATCTCACAGAAACGACCGGGAGAGCGGCTCGCGCAGGAGAGCGCGCTGCTGGAAAACCAGCCGCAGACGATGCCCGGGCTAAGGTTTGTGGGCGCGGCGGCAGAGTCGCCACTTCTCTTGGGCTTGTTGCCAAAAAACTGTCTTACCTGTGCTGCAGGTATCTCTGCTGACCGGAGGTGGTAAAAACCCAGAAATAAATCGACTTTTCTACTTTTCAAATTACAAGAATAATAAAGACAAGAAACAAAAACAAGAAACGAGGAAGTGAATTTGGTCCAGTTCTCTGCTCTCATCACACCGCTGCGCGACAACACTAAAGAGGAACTTCTGTCAACAGACACCAAGACAAGAATAAGCTTCTCCAAGCTCTTAAAAAATCTAAACCCTAAACCTTAAACTTTTGTTTCCCAAGTCCATTTAACGTTGTCCAGAAGGTCCAGAATCTTCGACCCATCATGGAAACTTGAACAAGTGAGAAACTTGCTCTCTGATTTTCAAGACATAAAAACAAGAAAAACAAGAAACAAGGGGCTGGAATTTCGACTAGACGTTCTTGACTCTTTTCTCTTTTCTTTGAAAACGCCCCTTTACCACATCAGCAGCACAGTGGGCCGGTCTATTGCGACGAGGTGAGACCCTAGAGGAGCGACACAGCAAAGAAACACACCACACCCAAGAGAAAGCAAAACGAAAGCAATCGAATCCTGCGGTGAAACGGCTCTCTTTCAGAACACGAAGAGGTCGAGGCAGACCAGCAGTGGCAAGATTCGTGCTGTGTTGAGGAAGCACAAAGTGCGGTTCGCAAAACCACCTTCCATTAACCCCGGTTTTTCCTCTTGCCCAAGTTCTTCTAATGGTCGTCCCTGCAGTACCTGTGACTGAAGTATTGGTTGTCGCCTCGGACACGCGATGCCGATGCCGCAACAGACGCTGGTCGGCGCGCTTTCCTGGTCAAGGTGACGCTTTAGGACTTGTAGTTAACATTGGATTTTACACTCTGGACCTGCCAAATTTTCTGCTTCGACGCAGCATTTTCACGCTTTGGGGCATCTGTAGAAAAGGTGTGAGCGCAGGCTGATGTACAACACGGCGCAAGTCGCTGATTTTTGCCGTACAAGGTGGTCAGCTTGCGTTGCACAAGTGCCCTGTACGCATTGAGGGAAAGGTCACGCCTCTTTGCGTTTTCACTTTTGACGCACTCGATCATCTGGCAATTGTAGGTTCACTATCAGCGGGAAGTGGTGTGCTCTGCCACGCCTGCTTGCTCCAACCGGAAAGTGGTGCAGTGAACCGCATTGTCTCGCTAAGCAGTGGCATCACTTTGTTTAAAAGGCCGCGCCAGGTATTGAGAGCCACAAGTGAATGTGCCCTAGCGATATCCGTAAGTGTGGTGTCATCATCCGGTCTGTCACAGGCGAGTGGGCCCGTGATCGGTCCCACAGTCGGGCAAGAGGGCGTGAGTTGCGTTAAAATCACCCGCTAAGATCGCTCCCTTCGCGGTATGCCTTCCAAACACGTTGACGCTTTTCGTCAATGGCAGCATTTTGTGCGTTCCAGGCCTTCTGATAGATCCCAACAACATGTACGCAGCGGTCTCCCTCAGGGGGCTTAAGGTGCAGAACACTGCTTGGTTCTTGTCAAACGTGCACGGACCGTCTTCGCAAGTGCCACGAAGACAGCCTTAGACTAAGACGGATTGATTAATACACCATGCTGCGCAAGTATGT